CTGATACAGAAGATCCTGGTTTTACAGGTTTCAATAATTAGATTAAACTAACTAGACTGATACAGAAGATCCTGGTTTTACAGGTTTCAATAATTAGATTAAACTAACTAGACTGATACAGAAGATCCTGGTTTTACAGGTTTCAATAATTAGATTAAACTAACTAGACTGATACAGAAGATCCTGGTTTTACAGGTTTCCGTCACTAGACTGGGCTAATTAGACAGATACAGAAGATCTACGTTTTTCGGTTTGGTACAATATCATGAAAAGTACAATATAACGTTTCCACTACACACAAATTAAAAAGCGGATTAATAGATTGAAGATTTGTGAAATAAAAAAATATAAACTTTAATATGTTTTTTATTTAGAATTTTTACAACCAACTAATTTTTTTAAATTTACATAATGAATAAATTCCTAGGAAAAGTTTTTTGAATTTCGCGCAAAGCTACACGAGGGTTATCTGCGCTAGCCGTCCCTAATTTAGCAGTGTAATGGCTGAAAGGGCGAGCATGTTTGGTGTGACGGGGATTCGAACCCGTGACCTGCAGATTGCGAGTCGAGCGCCCTGGCCATGTCGGGCCAAGTAAGTTAGTAATAAGCAAGTCAAGAAGCTAGCATAGGTCTCGAACGATTATAATAATGGAAGTACCGTATTTACAGTATATGCTAACAATAGACGTATACATGTCTCAAAACAATTATGCGTAGTCAGGTTTTTTAGGAAAATGTTTATGAATAATTAATGAAGTACACCTGATGTTTTGTTTCTTGAAAACGGTAATATGGCACTAGCCAGTTCTCACGCACGGTCTGTACCCCGCAAAATGTCAAGCAGTTGGAACATTATTCTCAGACTGTTTAACACAAGTACATTTTTGGATGCGAACTCCTACACAAGAACTCGTGCTCGTCCACAAAAGAGGTTGCATTTTTATTAGTAGGAGTGCCAATGTGACAGACCGCTTATATTGTGTCTTTTATTATTTTTGATAAGTCGTCTCTACGAGTCGGTATCTGGTTTCCATATTGTTTTAAGACATTTGGCACTCAGTTCATCAAGATGCGTGGTTCCTAAAACCTGCTCTGGACGTGTTTCCAGAAGGTTAATGTTGTTTTAGAATTTGTTTTAAAAGATTTAGTAAATCAGATAGAGTAGCTCAAGAGTTGGCGCTTTTCATCTAACATGTTATAAAGACGCTAATTCAACGTCTATAAACAAGTAAACTGAATATTATACCTAGTATAAACAAAAATAATCTAACTTATAACATGTCAAGAAATGTTACTGATTATATACAAGATTATATTATTAACAAGTTAATCTAATACATTGTTATCATTACTTCCGATCAGAGCAAGTCATGTACTCAGTACACAATAACGTATTATAAACAATATAATCCTGCCGCTCTATAAAATAAATTGTTTGTTTTCGAAATAAATTCTACTGAGATTATCGAACAACTAAAAATTTTTTCAACACCATCCATTCTCCAACAGGCCGAACGTGGCCGTAATGGCTAATGTGTCTGTACTATTAAACTGCCAATTCATGGTTCGCGCACCGTAGCTGTAAAAAACGCGCACTGTGATGGCCATATCCCCGACTATTCGGTCGGATAAGTATAGCCAAAGAGTTGACAATGGGTGCTATTGACTAGCTTTCCCTCTAATGTATCATTTGAAAGTTAGGGGGCATCTCGCTATGTGAAGCTTTACACGAAGGTTCTAGAATAGACAACTGAAAAAATTTTCAATGGAGCCTTTCAAAACACTTCCCATAATGCCTCAAAGGAAAAATATTTTTCTAAGCCTTGCACATTTCCCTTGCACTCTTAAAAGCTGTTCTCACAATAATTACTACCTCGCAAGAAATAAAATTAAACGAAAAACAATCCATATGTTTTAATTCAGCAGTGGAACAAACACATTGTTTTCCATCTGTTCTAAAGGCTTTGTCTTTAGTCATTCTTAGAATCTTTTCTTAGTCAAATGTTTTACACGTTATTTTGACAACGTATTATCAATTCTATCAATAAAGTAAACACACCAATATTTAATTTAGCATTATGAAAAGGTAACTGAAAATTGTCAGCTTTTACCATTTATAAAATAATGTACTTTACTCTTACGTTCTTCGGACCAATTTCGGACAATATGAGCATTGGTGTCTTGTAAAAGCCTTTTTTTCATGGGTTGAAAGAGCGGCAACGTGAAGTGGACATGATTGGTTCTGGTACACCCTGGACGTTATTCACTATTCTAGAGGAACCACAGAGCATAACCACATGGTTCTCGTACTACCAGTGGTGTATGAAGGAGTTACAAAGTGGGGTTGCTTAGCTAGACGTGCAGATTTTACAATGAGAGATTGAAACAAGAAGGAGCTGCTAAAAGCAGCTTCCGTACTGCCAAAGGTAGCTCAGTCTAGGGGAATCTGGGGGCATGCTCCCCCAGAAAATTAATATAATTAATTGACATTTGTCATATAAATCAAATATGTAAAAATGGGGCTACAGCACTGATGCCTCTGCGTACTACTACGTAGTTATTAGCGTTTTACACTAGCGGAAGAATACCAGCAAGCTTAAATGTCATATTTTTACACTACCATAAAAGAGTGAAACACAACTCATAAATCACATAATTCGCTTTCTTTCATTCTTTTCAAAATTTTTGCGTTACGCTACACAGTGGGATACCTGCGCTTAGCCGTCCATAATTTTGAAGTGATAGTCGAGACGGAAGGCAACCTAATAAATAGTAACGTACTCACAGTCCAAAAATACGGAGGTTATTTTGAAGTAACGAACCACAGTCCAAGCACGCCGGCCCCATCTGATTCAAATCCGGTCATTCTAAGCATCACTGAAGTTAGGTTTTCCTGTTCGAAGATGCTTTAGGACTGGTTATCGCCTGCAATATGGCAGTTTTGTAATGTCTTTCTCACAGTAAAGAATAGTAGATTTTTTTTTATTCCAGTTGAAGAGGTGGACCAGTTAGGACACAACCTGGCTTCTGTTACACTTTATAACTTTGCCTAGATGTTATTCTGTTCGTCAGTTACCAGCAGTTAGCGGTCATGATTTCCCTAGCGGCATACATTTCCCTTTTTGATCTGTCATTATGTTTAGACTAATGACGTAGTAATTTCAACAGTGAATCAAAGAAATGGTCTTTGCCTGTTATCATACCCTACTTCCTTGCTTTAACCATCGTTTCGCCGACTAAACATGAAATTACTCCACATTTATAGGCCTCAAGCAACTATATGACATATAGCATAATCAACCTAATTTATATATGCAAATAAACTGGGTGTTTTACAAATGTGTATGTGTATATACAGCCCAGCCCCGTTTATCAGGTCAGCTGTGGGTCTAATTAATGGCCGCATAACGGGGTGGTCGTATTACCAGGTGTCACTGTATGGGGTCAACTCTGGGATCCTACTAAGGCCACAGTACATACCCCAACCACTCGCCCATAACACTCACCTTTCTATGTTATTGTTTGATACAGAATGTTGTAATAACATTTAGCTGAGAAAGTAAGCTCTATTTAGCGCAAAATGAAGGGAAAGATGACAAAACTTGAAATGAATATGCGAATTTTCTCCTTTGAACAAAGCTTTTGTTCACAAGAATACCAAAGAGAGACTGAACTAGAAGTGTTACAAATGACAAAGTTTAAAGGAGTGTGAAAACATTGTTTTTGTTTTTTATCGTGTATGAGGTGTGAAACATCAGGTAGGATTAGCATACCATTAATAGGGAACATCAATGGTCACCTTGTAACACCTACAAGATGTGGCTGCTGTCAGTCGATGTACGGTAGTGGCCTCACCTTGACTGACAATTAGGCAGCGGCAGGTGAGAGCCGGCCTGGATGGCCGCAATACTGATTTCAAAGAGACCGCTTGGGAGTGTAAAACAGGTGACCACAAGTCAAGTTGACCGCAATACGAGTGCCCATAATAGTGGATGTTTTACAAACATAAAATAAAAGGAAATATTTGGGACTGAGTCAAAATGGCTGTAATTAAGGGTTGACCGGTATGCGAGTCTGGACTGTATATATATATATAGAGAGAGAATCCTAATGAAAGAATTGCTCATATAACGGGCTAATAAAGAATATTTTAATAACTTTTACACTTTGTTTGAAGGTCTACTTTATAATACCTCTACTTTTTAATTTAGCTAATCCTAATAGCTTTTAGTCTGACTGTTATGGCCGAATTAAAACATATTTAAGGACGTATAATTACGAGCATGTTATAATAAACGTAAAGTCTGTTTATTTGTTTTGGTGCAAAGTGACACAATAGGCTATCTGTGCTCTGAGTTCAGCGTTGCAATCCGTAAACTTATCGCTGACACACCAGGGAACAACCGTAATTTATATAAATTGTCATAAAGGAAATTGTTCATCGAATAGAATATTTCATCTGGTAATACATATATTGATGGAGCTAACAGGTTTTACTCAGAATGTTCCCAGAACAGTTTGCTAATATAATTTAGATTCGAAATACACTTCAATCAGGGGTGTAATGTTGCCGGCATCTGAAAATGGAGCCGAGTCTCGACACTTTAAAAACTACGAGTATGTATGTAAAAAAAAAAGTTATTCAATTTACACCTGGAATTAAGTATCTTTCATAACCAAAAGTTGCTATTTTCTTAGTGTTGGTAGGAAAAGAGGTATGCAAAGCATTATAAAAATCAATGTTGTTAATACTATAGTACAGTTATAAAAATAGTAAATTAATAAGATATGCGATTATATAACTTGTTTTAATGTTAGTGATTTTTATTTGGTACACAGTTGTTGTTTTACCTTACTGCTCAATTTAAAGGAAGTTGAATTGTGTGTTTTCTCGCTACTGTATGTGTATTTAGTTTGACTTTCATGTAAGTAATTTTAAAATATTAGTGTTGAACATATTTTCTTTATTTGAAATGGACTCAAAAAATTAACCTTTGAGATCTTATGGTGACGTCACACGTCTGACAAATTTTGGCAGGGCTCTGTCACTATAAAATTTAGCAACTACACCACTGACTTCAACATTTTTTTTATTATACGATATAAAATATTATTTGTCTTACGACTTCAAATTACAATGTTTGCACTTTGTGTAGTATTTTATATAGTACAAAAGAGTTTTGATAAATAGTATTAACTATTCTTTACTTTTTTGGGGGGATCTAGATCAGAGCAGACGAAGAGGTGTGCGGACGGCTGTTCTTGTGAGCAGAAATACAAATGGCACCGATTATTATCTTACGATTCTGATGACGATTGTAAAGGAATATTTATGGATTGGTTTCTTTTTCCTTCTTGTTGTGTGTGTCGATGCGAAAACCTTTCCAGCAAGTGAACCAACCGGAATCCTGCTTTTAAAAATCCAAATGAGCTGTGTAAAAACGAAGATTAATAATTCGTCATTATAAAGTATTTCAACTTGGAGAGAATGTTTGAAAAGTTCAAGAAATGCAATTTGATTTAATTTTCTCTCAAATATTCGTGTTCCAAGTTTCTAATAATTAACCGCACTAAAACAAATATTGTGTAATATCCGATTTATTGTATCACTGAAAAACCAAGGTTTGACGTGCCAAGTTATTCCGACTTTTTTAATAGATTTCCAGTATGGGAATCGTAAAAATGACAACTTTTTTATCGCCGATGTAAAAAAAAGAAAAAAAAAGTGAATGTTATATCATTTAGCGATTATAAATACAGATAGAGTAACTTTTTATAACAGATTTTTGAGTTTCTTCTTGTAATTCGTTTGTTGCAATAATGTAAAATATATAAAATAAAAAATGTCAATTCCAAAGTTAAAATCTTTACATTATCTTCGACTTACTCTATACAACTCCAAATGTTGTGTGTGTGTTGGAGGGGGGGGGGCGTTATCTGTTCAAATTCTTTCCGACCATTTATCGCAGTATATTTTAATGATTTACTGTATCCCGAAGCATAAAAAAAACCTCAGAAAGGAAAATTTTCAAAAGATCTAAGAGTTATAAAGTTCTGGTAGATGTTATTTGGATAAAACGTTAACACAATTTTCTCTCTAACGAGTTTTCAAACCAAACTTGTAACATTCTACAATTTTGTACAGCTTTAAAATTGCGTTGTTTTTTTGGGGGGGGGAGTCTTCTTCTGAAGTGACCACTACTGCTAAAAGTATAGTTGAATCAACTACGACTTTAGTCCTTTATGAAACATCTTATGATGTTTCACCTTTCCCCCAATTTGCATTTTTCTCGATAACAAAAAAAAAAAAAGTACAAGCAGCAGCATGAATTCCTCAAACTCTGTTTTTGTATTTACTAGTGCAAACGCTATTAGAACTTCAACTTAAAATATCATGCTCAATTATTCACTTTATTTCAAAGGACAATATAATTAAATGTAGTCTTAGAAGAAAACTGTATAATAAATATACAATTTTTTACTTTTACATAAAAAATTTTTGTTCATAACACATAGATGAGCATAATTCCTATTCCTGCCGTTTACTTTTACATAAAAACTTTTTGTTCATAACACATAGATGAGCATAATTCCTATTCCTGCCGCACTGCAGAGTGGTGCGAATGTTGTTTTTTTTTAATTTCTCTGCAAAGCTACACAAGGGCTATTTTCCCTAGCTGTTCCTAATTTAGCAGTGATAGAATAGAGGAAAGGTAGCTAGTCAACACCACCCACCGTCAACTTCTTTACCGACGAATACTGGGATTGACCGTGACATTATAACACCCCACGGCTGAAAGGGCGAGCATGTGTGGTGGGACGGGGATTCGAACCCGCGATTTTCAGATTGGGAACGAATATTATTTGGCATTTGTGCTCAAATTTTCCAAATATTCTCTGTCGAACATCAAATATGCATTCATGTAGACTTTGCTTGATTACGTTTGATTTCCACATAAAATACTGTCACGAATAAAAACAAGCCAGAAAATTTATTTCTTTAAATTACGAAAGCCTAAGTTGAAGAAGTAGATAATTCAGACAAAAATATTTCACATTACTTTGATCAGAATATAAAATAAGATGCAACCACTCTTTTAAGTAACGGTATAAGACTTAGGCTTCCAAATATTTTACATTGAGTGGCCATGATATTAGGACATTCACTAATACCGCATGGATCTCTTTGCCTCGATATGTCCCCTAATGGGACAGTGGCAAGTTTACGGATTTAAAACGCTAAAATCTGGGGTTCGATTCCCCTCAGTGGACACAGCTATAAAACACACAATGTCTCCATGTTGGACAAGCTCAAGAATATGTATTTTGATTGACTGTGGTCCAATCGTCGAGGAGTATGGTCACCATCTGCAATTAATTTATAAGAGTTAGAGTGTTGACTGTTACGCGATGTTCTTTACACCATTACACCAGCTGTAGTGTTAAATGCCTCATTTTCTCTAATCAGTATAAGATAGTTATTCAAGCACTTATTTGTGGTGAAGTAACCCGTATTTCAATTGATTGTATTCAGAATCCACCAGTGTCTGTGATGTATCCTGCACGGTACGGTTCATGATAGTTTGGTTTGAATTTCGCGTAAAGCTACACGAGGGCTATCTGCGCTAGCCGTTCCTAATTTAGCAGTGAAAGGCTAGAGGGAAGGCAGCTAGTCATCATCACCTACCGCCAAATTTGGGCTACTCTTTTATCAACGAATAGTGGGATTGACCGCACCTTATAACGCCCCCACAGCTGAATGGGCGAGATGTTTGATAGGATGGGGTTTCGATCTCGTGACCCTCAGATTATGAGTCAAGCGTCCTAACCACCTGGCCGGGTTTATGATAGTCGAATCCCAGATATTTTAAAGAATGGTCAACGAGTAAAATCTGTTCTCTGCTTCATTTTACAATAATTTTTCCAATTGACCAATCATGAAGTATGCAGTTACGGTTTTTCCTAGTGGTATGCGTATTCCCTTTCGATTACTACTATGGATAGAACTAGCTGACAGAGGTCCTTGAGCCACAACTCAAAGATCTTGTAAATATTTGATAATGAAGCTCTTGCTTGACAGGCACTCATAATTATGCCTTTCTGAAAATTAGTGAGACCCTTTCTCTTGCAAGTTAACCAGGATATGATCACTTCTCTGAATTTATTGAGCTTTCACTGTCCACACAAACTAATCAATTTAGTTCGTATATTGAAACAAGTAGTATTTACATAGTTGTTTGGTTCATCCTAGTAAAATGGTCAGCCACTTTATTTGAGGAAGGTTCCAACTGTACTTTGTTTTCGGATACTCAAGGACTACTTTTGCTAGCTGTCCCCCATTTTGAACTGATAAGCTAGAGGAAAGGCAGCTAGTCCACAGCACCCACCGACAATTTTTTAGCTACCCCAAACGAATAGCAGGATTTAACTTGCACATAATGCGCCAACAGCCTCAAAATGCGAAGATTTTTTGACATTGAAATTTTAGTTTGTTGTTAAGCCTAAAGTTACATAATATAAGGTGGTTCAAAATTATATTTCCTATTTTAAAACTTAATAACTAAGGAAACAAAACCATGCACTTTTCAACATCTTGTAGTTTTTTTATGGGCATGTCAGTAGACTTCTACGTGTACACTGTTTATGGCTCTCAGCACGTATAACCTATTTTAGTCCACGTTTGCTGCAACATGACCGCAGTTACAACAGTGATGGCATCCGTTATCCTGTGTTTTAGCTGAAAGTGTTTTCTGAATCATATGTTACAGGATGCATGAAAGTTATCTAGATAATATACCGATATATTATTATTATACTATATGTTGTGTTCGTATGTATCAGTATAATGGACAAATCTATGACTGTTTAGAAAAAAAAAAAATTGCATTTTAAGACTTTGAAAGTTCATTAAATGTTAAAGCATTTCTTTGCCATTTAATTCATAACTTATACACAGCGTGGTCACAAGTAAATAGACACCACCTTTTCAGAAAAAACGAAATTTTCTTGATTTGCCGGTCGAGTATGGCCCACAGGTTTTCGATGGGGTTCATGTCAGGAGATTGGCTCGGCCAGGGCAACTTCT